AGAATTCAAGTTTCTAGCACTCGTGAATTTTTTCGTCCAATAACATATACATACAAAACAATACAAAAGCATAGAGATCTCGGGTTATGATGATGTGCGGAGGCAGAGGTTAAGAGAACGGACAACAGCGGCAACGAGCATAGCAAGATGGTTAAATAACACTTATGTCAAGTCATAGCGAAAACTAAAGAACTACTAGGGACAACCGAAATGACAGTACGCGTTGGAATAACTGACAAAGCTGTAAATAGAAAAAGTTAATGAGTATTGGGGAAAACGAGAGAATGGAACTGGTATATCAGAAGAATATAAAGTACTAAATATAAGACTGTTCTCTATTCTAATATTATTATAACGCATGGGCAAAGTTAAAACATTCGTTATATAAAACAATGCAATAATAAACAAATAAAACAATATTCAGACGTCCAATTCTTCATTCTGGTTTGCCTTTTTCTCCTTTTTAAGTATTTGTTCCTCTGAAGTGATAAACGAATACGTTTAATTGTCTTTCTAGATCCTATATGCCTATTATTACTGCCGTGAATGTCCATATATTCGCGCCTTGCCGCAACTTCCTCTTTGTTATTTTTAATAAATAGATTGATAATTTCAAATTTTAAATTTTCTTAATAAACGCTTTTTTCTGTCAAAATTGCTTTATTAATAGTTAAAGTAATAATTGCTATGTCCCCCAAAAACGAGCAGTGTAAGACAGAGTCTATATTCAAGCAAGAAGGAAAAAAAAGTAACTTCTAAAAATTCTGTATATTTAAATTATGAAATTTTATTTTAATCAAACTTACTGAGTTTACTTAACTTAAGAATTTGTATGTGCTAAAACGTCGAGTTTAATCAAAAAATATTTCAGAAGTAAATTGTACATCAAAAAATTGCTGAAATCATTATTTTCAAGACCTTGCTATTATCAAAATTGAATTAGTCACAAAACAAGTCATATTTTCTGGAAAACGAGTCTGAAAAAACTGTATTCTCGTCTGCAAAAAAAAGTGGTGGTGGTAAATGTGAAAATCTTACTCGAATGTTCATTTGAATGCAGCAGATGCATCTTCATTTGAACAATTCATCTAGCACAAAGAAGAAGAAGAAAAAGAAATCATACATATAACAAACATATAACAAACTTAAACCGAAGACGCTAAAATGTCATTGTTCATTAAGTTCCGCAAATTATTTAAAATTAAATTAGATTTAATGGTTTATAGGAGGAGCATTCAAAAGGCAAACTGTATAATAAAATAATGATTTTCGAAGTTTGTTTTTTTTTAACTTGCATTAAATTGTAGTTTTCGTTTCGTATATAATAATTGTATTTCTGTCTATTTTTTGTATAAATTTTAATATTTTTAAATTAAATTATTTCCAACTTTGTAAAATGAAATTAAGTTTGCCTTTTCAATAATGTGCCTAACTGAAAACTCAGTTGCTTTTATAGCTTTAATTTCGATTTTTGACCTGTTTAAGAAGTGGAAAGTGGCTCAAAAAATAAATTTGTAGCTGTGAAGTATGGGATTTCGGCAAGTACAGTGTCTACAATTTTGAAAAATAAACATTCAGTCATCACCGCAATGGAACGTTTCGAAGAAAACAAAAACAATAACATTACACTAATGGATTGTGTTGACGACGTAACTACCGCATGGAATATCGACGTTAAGCCTGAAATAATTTCCAATTGTTTTAAAAAAGCTGGTTTTGGTCAGTATTCTGAATGGGAAGAAGAAGATCAGGCTCCCTTGATTTTCCTAAGTGAACGCCTGAAAGAAAAGAGTGAAGACGAAATCCAAATAGAAATCGAATCGAATCCTGCAGATCGGAACCGGTACAGTTAAATATCGAAGATGACTGCGAAAGTGACACGATGGAGGAGGAATTCGAAGATGATTCTCAGCAATATTCAAATGAATTGGTTGAAAATTTGTTGATTGTCTTGCGTTCCTATTCGAAAGCCAGTGAATACACAACCGATTCCCTCTATGATTGTTTAAATAAAATTGAAGCTTTTGTTCAAAACCAAAATAAGAATTCCGGTCGTCAGTCACAAATAACTGACTTTTTTCCAGTGAAAGAGTAAACTTTAATATGTACATACATATGTATGTATATGTGCATACATACTATGTTTATATATACTGGGTACATATACAATACATTTGTATGTACATATATACATATGTAAATACATACATACATATGTACTACTATTTCATAATTTTCGTTTTTTGTTCAAAAATCATAGATATTAGAGCATTTATGTAACGTATAACCCATTTTTAAAAATGAATGAATAAATGGTCATTCACAAAAAAGTACATGCATTTGTAGTTTTTATTGATAACTCCAAGTCTTGATAACTCGAAATTTTCATGTGTCAAATCGCCTGTATATGTTTTAATAGAATGGATAATATAGAAAATCTTTTATAATTGGTACAGCACGACACTGCATGGCATGCAGCTTCCTTTAAGTATTGACGTTAAACAAAATAAAAACTTTTGCGTTGTATATTATTTTCAGGTTTGATAATAATGCTTTTGATCATATAAAATATTTTTTATTTTATTTTATAAGCGCTTACTTATAATAATAACAAACAAAATCGGTATTCAGAAATAATAATTGCAATAGATTATAGAGACAGAGATAATTTATAAATATATAAAGATTAATTCTTAACACCACTTACTAATCAGGCTTTGTTTGCTTTGTAATTCTAATATTTTGTATATATTTTTTTAAACTCGACGTAATAATGGTATAATCTAAGTTTTAGCTATAACTTTAAATCAGATATGTTGTCCTTGCTTTATTTATTTTTGTTTTTAAATCAAATCGAACACATTATGTAATCAGAAAAGATATTTATTTGAGCCAATGGAAAATAAATCTGATGAAAATTGAACTAAAGTCAAACTCTCTCGTCAAGTATGATATAATTTTTAAGCAATTATATGCTATTTTGGAACAATAATAATAAAGATTTGAAAACAATTTCTCATGGATGACAGTAGTTTCTTAAGATTAAAATTTAATATAAAAGAATCCGTTCCAATGACCAAGGAAACATTACGGTTTTCTTAAAATTCTAAGTTGAGGTGAAACTTTGTATCAAAATTCATATCTTGAATTATATGTCTCACTTGTGGAATGGTAAGCGTAATATTATTATTATTCTTGGTCAATGTATACAGGATTAGATTACATCGGAAAAGAAAAGATGGCTAATTATGTACGACGAACGGGTACCAACCACCAACTATTTGTAGTTGTTTTGGTCAAAATTTAAATGGCCACCCGAAAATTAATTATCGCGCTGCCCCTTAAACCACGCGTTCGATGAGGTCAAGCGAGTGGACTCGGACTTGTTCACCTTTCAGACTATACGCGATGCGGAGAAAGCTGACAGTTCGGGTATCTTCAGAATGTAACACCCGGCGTTGCCGTATGTATATTTGTTTTTAGCCTCGTATTATACGGGCAGGTCGCGTAATCGAATATTTAAATTTTAATGACGTTCTTCAAGATGGACCGGTACTGTAAAGATATCCTCTTTATGATTTCTGCGGGATAGGTCGGATATATTATAGATTATATAGTTTGGTTTGCCTTGTTTATTGTTTCCAGTTATAACGCGATTATAATGGTATTTAATAGCATAATATTCGACGATGAAAACTTCGAACAATTAATAAAGTATTCATAATGCCGCTTGATTAGCTGACTAGCAATTTGAAAATAGTTTAAAGAACATACACGAGCGCATATACACTTTTCATTCAACTTTGGTAGTTTTGACACTTTTTATATTATTATCTTGCCAACACCGACCTAATGTCATTTAACTAATGATCGATTATTTATATTTCTCAAATTTTCTCCTTGTTTGTATTTTTCGAATCATAAGTGTACTTTGGAAAATCATTTCATTCGGCTATCCTTCATTGAAGTAAGTGGTTGTGTACATGGTCTATTTTTGACTGTGTCCTGTATGTAAAATATCTACTAATAATTTCATGCATTGATATTACAATTTAATTTTATGATATGATGAATATTCGTGCGGATTATTAATGGATATATAAAACAAATCAATTTGTCGGTTATTGATTTAGTTGTTGCAAAAATGTGGAAAGGGAAATTAAAACTTCTCAGGAAATCTCATTATTATCGTTAATACTAAATTACAAAATTTAAAAAAATTATACTGGAAATTCGTAGTACAAATGAATTTTGTGAAACATTGTCAAGACCTTATTTCGAATTTCCAAATACATCAATTTGTAAGCACTTTTTTCGATTTTTTTTATGGAGTGAATTGCACTGTTAGATGAAGTAATTAAGTAACGAAAATACCACATTCTCTCAGAGAATGAAAACAATCCATATCCGTCTTTTTCTATGGACGTATTTGGCAGTTTAGGCTTAGACCTGGTTATATCATTCACAGAGAGTGAGATATATCCTATACGGCAAAAACTGTATAACAATAATGGGCTTAAAATGGGCTCTGTGAAACTTGATAATTTGTTATCTAAATCTTAAATCTACTTGAACCCATTTTTTACACAAATCTAGGGCACATCCCTAAGCAGAGGGAATATATCAGTAAGCTGTGCTGAACTTTTCAAATTATTATTGAAGTTGATGACGGGTCATATAAGAAAAGGAATGCATGATTCACCTCGTATCCGGAAACCTATACCTTAAAAATTATGTTCCTAACTTTAATTATGAGCCTTTTTTATCGCATTGAAAAATAAATCATTGCTGCGTTGCAGTAGGCAATCTTGGCTAAATTATAGTTATCAACTATCACTAGCATTCGTCCCATTACCCCCACTTTTGGTGGGTTCGCTTAGTTGTTGAGCACCCGCTGGTGCGTAGTGTTGGCGAGACTATTGAAATTCTTCTCCTTAAGTTTACTTCATGCTCGTCCCATTACATCGAAATCCAGCAGCATTTTCTTTTTATTGTTTCAGATGATCATAATGAAGTACAAAAACAAGGCGTGGCTGGTGCTACTGGCCATATGTCAGTGTTTCGTGGCATCGTGTACTCAGCAGCAAGACGAAGAAAGCAGTTTGTGGTCGTTTTTGTCGAAAGCGAGGCCCAAATCGAAAATCGACAAAGACAAACTGCTGATTCCTGACGAAATAGTTCGTTTGTACGAGAGGCAGTCGGGGATGCGATTTTCCACGCTGTCCATACCAAAGAGGGGTGCTCAAATCAGCACCGCTAACACTGTTAGGTATTTTGAACATATCGGTAGGTAATGACCCTTCCACATTTTTTATACACTGCGTAATTTTTCCGGATAAATTAACGACGTCTTACGCCGGTATTTCATATTATATATACCGGGTGTTTCATTAATTGTACGATGTACGTCAACTGGAGGTATTATGGATCAAAAATAATAATGAGTTTTGAGTGTACCGAAGATTTACATATTTTATAATAATTTTTACCTGCAAAATGATGAAAATAATTTTCGAAAACAAGTGACACTTTCTCGTTGTCACTTTTTCTACCATACAATTTAGCGTTATTAGGTTTTAAGCATGATGTTTCAGTTTATGTGTGCCCATAATCAACTTATTTTTTTTTAAATAGAGACCTGCAGCAATACGGCCCTACAATTGAATATAAAGGAAAATTGTCACAAAAAAATAGGCTGGCTATGAAGCAAAACCATTTATGTCACACAGTTTTGACGTAGTTGTTAATTATTAAAGTGACAGTTACTTTCACTGTTGCATGTAATTATAGACTTTATAATAAAACAGATGTTTCCCATGTTGGAAAACACTATATGTTACGTATTTATTACAGTTGACTCAGAAATTCCAGAATTGCTAATAAACGGTACCTAAATCAATATCCCCAGCGAGTGCAACCGCATCTAAATTTGCTTGCCAAATTGGATATAAATTTGTTGAAATTCGGGAGTTTTAGCAAGCCAAGAAATGAGGAAGATAATATTATAAATATAGTAAGAATGTCGATCTCTAATTGTTAATAAACTTTAGTTAACTATCAATCAATGATTTTTTTTGACAACGAACTAAAAATTTTGAGAATGCTATAATGGAAGACATTATATTCAAAGCACTTAAGTCAAAAACTTAGACCTGGTAATGAAATTGGGCGTCTAGAATTATGCATTTGGCTCCAAAATCAGCTAGAAGCAGATGATGCCTTTAATTCAAAATAATATGATGAATGTAGTTTTACAACTCACGGTATTATTATTAGGGATTTTGAACATAACTGATCCATAGAGAATCCGCAGCAACTTTAAGAACTGAATACTGAGAGCATACAATAGAATTATCGGTCCAATAATATCTGAAGGTAGCTTAACGATCGTTGTTGTTTGTAATCGTTATGGTGGCCACCTGACAATGGACGACACCTTAAATATATTTTTTTCAGTATATGGCCCGCCACATATAAAACCACTGGATTACTTCTTACGGGGGTATTTAAAAAATCGTTTATATCGTGAGATCAATCAATCAATCAATTCAATAAATGTGTAAAAAAATGCCTTTTTTTACTACTCTAATAATTACTTACCAAAGTAAAATGTAATTAATATTTGTTTCATGGTTATGTTATTTTTTTGCAAATTTGGCATTATTGTCAATTTTGGGGTGGTATTGATGAGCACACAAAAACGAAACGGCATACTTAAAACTTAATAATGTCAATTTATAGGGGAGGAAAAAGGAAATTTGTCATTTATGTTTATTTGTTTTGAAATTAAGACCAGGAAAACATTCTAATTAAATTGCTGATTTTCGGGTTTTCAAAGATATCTCCGATACTAATCAGTTTATCCGAAATCGGATGTTTTATGGTTTCCGAGATCCCAATAGTCTTCGAATTTGGGACAACCGGTACAGTGTAACAGTGTAACGATACAGCTAGCATAACTCAGGTGACTTTTGATGAAAATTTGATCCTAGTAGAAAATTTGATATTCTTATATTTTCCAATTAACACTAGAAAAGCAAAAGTTATGATTTTCAAAAAGGAGAATCATGATAAAAACAACCACAAGTTTTATTGAGATGGATGAAGTGGAGTTTGTTTCTCGGCCTGTGCAGTTTTCTATGAAATATCCAAAATTTTCTTTGCAAAATGTAAGCAAGGATTTGGTGCTACGAAATCTTTAATGCTCTATAATAGCTTCCCTGACTTATAGTACAGGCCTCTGGGGGTTAAGATATGATGATGAGGTGCAGGTTGCTTTCTCAATCAGCTTCTTTGTCTTTTTTCTGACCAGACATTTAGTGCGTCTTGAAACTAGTAATGGTAAACTCCTACTTATTTTTGAATCGGCTTTATCCTGGCTGCTTAAACTAATATAGATGCCTGCTAACAGACTACCTAAGACGTGTTTTCTGAGACTCTTGAGTATCAGTGGTAATAGTTGCGAAAAATATATCTTGATCTCACATTTAAGAACCTGCGTCGATAAAATTGAAAACTGTGTGTCTGGATTTAAAAAAATGACAAAGTTTAGGACCTAGCTTATTCCGTTCTTTCAATAAAACATCTATTATTTGCACCCTATTTACTAAGGAAATTCTTATAAAAAATAATTAAAATTAACATGACGTAAGAAATATGTTCCATTTGTAACTAACTAAAAAACAAAAATGTGCGGCATGTTTTCTTTGAATGTCCATTTTATGTACGTCTTCGCTAGAACGTCCCAGTTGCAAATTTATAACAGTGACAGATTGTAACTAACTAAACATTCATTCAACTAAGAAATTCAATTTTAAATTTTCGCACTCTATATTTCAATATGCGCGCATTATTTGAGGAATGCACTGCTTCAGTTGACGTATTGATATTATTATTAAAATACCTTGTAGGGGTAGAATTGGCAAAATGGATTATTTAAAGTTAAGCTAAGATTTGACGACGATATAGAAAAAGTCCACTTCTTACTCGAGGAATCAGTAATTACAATTTATTATTTCAAGAACTTAAGTACTTGCCTGGTAATTTAGGCAAGTTTATATATACATATGTATTATTAAACGAATTTAAGTATCTTGTATTATTAAAACTATTTCGGGGCGGATTATTTTCGACAAGTGGGTCCTGTAGTTTTGGTCACCCATTATTGTCGAATAACCGTAATTATCGTCAGAAGTACCTCATTACCCATAATGATCCGGTGGTTTGAGCTTTCTAAGAAACGCCTTTTCCACAAACGTTAATGGTTTAAGATCAGGTTGTAACGTTTCTTTAGAAAAATCATGGCTTAAAATTCCCTTAAAAACCTACGAGCGCTTTCGGTATTGTGTTTAAAGTAAATTGCAATCCTTAAAATTGTATTTAACTCATAAAAAGTTATTTTCCATCAAAGTTTCTCAAAATTTTGAGCATAAAATATAGTATAACATATTATATGTAGCGCTTCGTACAGTTTCGCTGAAATGATCAAAATTTTCGATCTAGCAATAAATAACTGTGAGTTTCTGTCCACCACCTCGGAAGTCGTCAACCGAAGCGAAAGCTGAATATTCAGTCCGACTACCGACAACAACAGGTCGATTCTCAAGCATTATCAAATTTAGGAAATGGAAATTTCCACGTTGCTGTAAGCGTGTAATGCGCACGCTTACTTCGTTTGTGTATTTATTTCCAACGGTACACCCGTGATCGATGCAAATGCCGCCAACAATTTACGAATTTGATTTACGGTGATTAATTTTTCATAAAGTTAAAGTTATAGTTTTGGTTTGTTTTGGTATTAATTTCAATAAAAAAAACAATAATGTTATCAAATTTGCTTTTATAAGTAGTATAAACATTTTACATTGAGTTTTTAGATTGTTACAAATTATAAATTAATAAAACAATTTACAGATATTCCGGATTCTCTTGATCGGTTGTTAATAAATTCAACTTCAGAGCTTAACTGACTGGCTCGTTTGATTAATAAACAACCGACGCAGGAGAAATCCAGAAGATTTATAAGTAGTATTACAGTAGCCTGTGTTATTTTTAGAGAAATTATAAACCAGTTAGAATAAATAACTATTTCGTTTGGAAAATTATATATACCTATCCAGCTACATAATATACCATAATAAGATAACATAAACTAACAGTAATAATAATGAAAATAATATACTTTAATAATGATGAGGAAACCATATATTAGAGGTCTAATATTAAAAAGTTATTACATAAAATTTTGAAATACTTCCCCGTATATTGACTATCCTACTTTTGCCAATTTCTGTGCACTGAAATTTTTGCTTAACTTTTTTAAAAATGACATTTGTCTTTATTAAAGTTAATGTTATTTTCTTGTGTTCTTTTAATTATTTTAATTACTCGTTTCCATTCTGGAGACCCTAAAAAATTCAATCAACGATAAATACTCTATTGACAATTATTCTTCAAAAACTATTTTTTGCTTGGCGTTTTTCATTTGAAAGACATCTGCTGTTGTGTAGATTAATTTATTAATTAAAACTGACCAAAACTAACCAAAACGATCCTTGGGAATCTGTAACCTTCCTAATGTCGTTAATTGTATATAATAGTTAACTATTCACATGGTTATTCGGGATGTATTCAAAAAGTTTTACTTTTGCGATATGTGAAGTAATATTATGGTTATTTTTCATATTAAACAGGTTGGCCGGTACAGCCAGGATATTTTAAGTTTCGTGACATTTAAAAAATTTTATACATTATAATGTTATTGTTTACAGTACCTACCTAGTTGGTTTTTAAACATACCACAAGTTTTAAATTCGTGGATAAGTATCAGAGAAAGCGATCAATGCAGTTATCAAATATGTAAATTCACAAAACATTAAATAAAGAGACGCCTCGTCTGTTTATTGACTACCTGAATAAAGCGAGTAGAAGGTGGCATCTTAAACCATACGATAGCTAATTAAAAAGACCATTTTCTGTTTAAAAATACGGCATTCCATTTAAATTGATTAAGTTAAAAGTATTTGTTAGGTATAAAATACTTCTTATACTTTTAGGTAAGAAATAAAAGTTAGGCTACGTTTTGAGAAAATTCAAATTATTTAAAAAATCTCAAGGTTTTGGCATCATAATCGTTGTTGAAATATACACCTATTTTGGTTAGGACTTTACATATTCCAAATGTAAAACTGTGGATCGGAATTGATGTTCTGTGCAGCCAGGCAAACTATCACTTGCAATAATTTGGTTGGAGGCAATTTTATTTCTCAAAAACTTAGTTTTAGTAATTAATGTATTTTTTAAATTTCCACTTTTCCATGTTTGTGTACGTTTTTGCCAAATGTGGCTCTTATATAAGGAGAAGTGTATTTGCATGTTATTAGCCAGGGAACGGTTGTTATCTCTGGCTGTGAGTGTACACGGTACAAACTTTCAAATTTAACAAACGCACACTCCTTAAGGCGGACCGATTTCGAGCAGAACGTGGCAAGTCAAAACAAAATCATTCATCAAAAGCCCTGCGGCCGACGTCATATCGAATTCAGTTGCTATCAAGAAAAATTTACATATACTTATTAGCACCTGATAATGTTAACTAATTTCCTTGCGATATTTATTACCGTATCGTTTATGACATGGTTCGCTCCATTTCGGAGAAACTATTAGGTTCTATCAAGACATAATATACCACAGATAACAAATAATGATTATGCTTGGAAGAATATCAAGTATCTGTTGTACTGGCTTTTACGACACATTCATTAGCTTTGTTTAATAAAAATCGATTACATATTTATTTATTGTTCGATATGTGAGTAACCACGGTTTGGAATTTTTCAGTTTTCATGCGGTTTTGAATTCTCGTAGATAGTAAAATTAAACTTGGATAAATTGAAATCATCAATTATTAAATCCAAATCAAAAAGGAAAAAAAAATCCAATATTGGTTTTGGACACATTTTTATTTTTTGAGTTGTTATGAAAAGATCATTTCCTCGCCAGTTACATTCCTCAAATTATTATGTAATAGGCCAATTACAGATATATTCATTTATAAAATTTGGTAAATTATAAACATTATAATTTTTACTATTTGCAAACCTTCTGGATTGGAACTTGCTGACGTTTCGCCAATCATCCTCTTGGCCTCTTCAGAGCTTAACCGAATCTGTTTTAGTTAACCAAAAAGTCAGTTTTGTGAAAGTTTCTTTGAGTTTTGATTTGTCTTCGCAGGCATAACAAAAATTATAAATATTGAGGTAAACTATGACGAAGCATAAGATGAAGATAAAGTTAGATAAAAGTTCACGGCCTAGATAAGTATCTACGAAATTTACCTTTTGTAATATTTATTTTATTTAAAATAAAATAAAATAATTAAGTATTTACTGATTATTGATTTTTTTAAACCAGTATAGTATACAAAAAAACATTGAAATCAAAATCCAGGTGTACTACAAGCAATCTAAGGTAACGACACTGTAAAACATATTCAAAATATTTTCTTTCGAAATAGAAAGTTTTTTTATGAAAATGATGCCTCTCTTTCTTTAAAGTGACTAGGGAGGTGGTTAAAAACTTTGATTTGCAACAAAATAAATATTTTGACGTTCTTCTTAACAAAAACACAAGCTTTAACTAAATAATTAGAAGTCATTGTTAAGATACAAGGATTCGTGAAAAGTTGCTAGAGTATCTAGGCCCCTTGGAGCAAATGGTTGTCATAATCTTCTTCGGCTCAATAAGCACGTGATTAACTCTAGCGGTATTCTCCCATGATCCGTAAAATACAAAAAAGATTTACTTCAAGTGTAAATTCATTTAATAAGAATGAGTATTTATTAAGAGGTTGCTGCCATGTCTAGAAATTTTAACTTATGAAATTATGAATTTTATTTTGGCCACTATATATATAGCATCCTGCCTGCGCTCATAATTAGGAACTTTTGAAGTCGTTTCCAATATTAAAACATGTCGCTTCATATCTCACTTTCAACCAATACGAGGCCGCATTGCGAGTATGTTTTTTTTACTTGATTTAAAATGTCCCGATGCCGAGTCCCCAACATCAATCCCAGATTCCCAGAATTTTTATGGTAACTCTATTAAATAAGGTAGTGATTTTGTTCTTAATTTAGAAAACCATTGAATTCTTCAACGGAATATGTAAATTATGATTTCTATTCGCCTCATCAAAGCAAGAATACAAATCCTTGGTACCTTGCAGTACAGAAACGAGTTCAGAATATCATACTTACACTAAAGGGAGTGATGGTCCAAATTTTTTTCGGCTTTTTGTTTACGAAATTCTTGTTAGTCGATAAACTAACGATCATAATCGATTCCTACTTTGTTTGCAGAAAGCCCGGTAGACCAGAGGTTTCCCAGCCACAAGAGGTTCCGGCTAAAATTCGACGTGTCAGTGCCAAAAAACGAGGTATTGAGGGCTGCCGAGATTACCCTCAAACGTAACCCACTCGAAGACGGCAGGAGTATAAGGATCGTGGTGGAGGACATTATGAAACTTGGAAAGAAGGGAAAACATGGCCCGATCAAACGAATAGTCGACAATAAATTCATCAACAGTAGAGGAAACGCTAACGTGAAACTAGACATAACGGACGCCGTTCAAAGGTGGCTGCAGAACCCGTCCGCGAACCACGGGGTCATTGTCCACGTGTTGGGCACCAACCAAGAGCCTCACGTGCGAATAAGGAGATCTTTCAAGGACACCGACGACAGCTGGCAGCAAGTCCAGCCGATTTTGTACTTGTTTACGGATGATAGGCAGCAGCAAGATCGGGTTAAGGGTGCAGATTTACTGCGTAGGAGGAGAAGGGGTACGAGGAAACATTTGAGGAGGAAAGAAGACAACGCGCCCTGCAGCAGGCACGAGATGTACGTCGATTTCTCCGTAGTGGGCTGGAGCGATTGGATCGTGGCTCCGCCCGGCTACGACGCGTACTACTGCAGCGGCGAGTGCAACTTTCCGCTCGCGGATCACTTGAACACCACCAACCACGCTATAGTACAGACTTTGGTGAATTCGGTGAACCCGTCGAAAGTGCCCAAACCGTGTTGCATCCCCACTCAAATGAACTCGATTTCGATGCTCTATTTGGACGACGAAAACAAAGTGGTGTTGAAGAATTACAAGGAAATGGTGGTGATAGGATGCGGGTGTCGGTAGTGCCTTCGCCGTATCCGAATTTCGCTTGCTCCGTCTGTGATCACTCGTTCTTGAACGTATTCAGTGTATTTTGTACCCCATCCCCCGCCGGTGCTCACGCTCCGTACTACTTTGCTAGAGCAAAAGAAACTCCGAAACGCCCGCATCTTATTTTTTAATAATCCTTATCTGTGATTGTAGTCTTAGTTTTTTAGGTGTTAAGGTTTCTCCATTCAGGTGCCTGACATTTTGGTTACGTTTATGGTCTCATTGTATTTTTCACCGTTCTGCCATACGTCAAATGGTTTGGCGACCATAACATTACCGATAGAATATGTTATACTTAGTTCAATGTTAAATCACACCTTGGTCCGTCGAAACTCACATTTCCGCTATTATTTTCCTTTTTGCTCGTTACCAACAGTTTATGTTTCGTGCTAGTCCTAACGCTTTTTCTGTACTACCGACATTTTGCAGACGTTTCGACACATTTCTGGGCAGAGTCTCTCTTGGTACTAAAACACTTTCAGCGTAATGATACAATACCAAATAACCAAACCATAGGGGACGACCAAAGACGTTATATCAGAGGAGATATCGAATTTGGTTGGTGATTATGGTATTTTGTGCGATTTGAGAGGTTTCTAAATCTCAATTCACCCAGTTACGATCATCTTAACCTCAATTTTCAATAAGCTTCAGCTATTGCGGCATCGCACGGCATAAACAGGCGCTGAACAGTCCCATGGACAGCTAAGCCTACCTTTGGATACAATATGTTTGATTTAAACCTAATTTTTTTTTTTTTTGGTAACAGCTGGATATTGTATTCAGAACCTTTAACAACTATTCATACCAAAGACGTTATATTCAAAATACTATCAGAGGACACGTCATATGTTTTCTAATTGTTATGCGATTTAAGTGTTTTTTTCTCTAAATATTAATTTAAACAGTTACGATCATCTAGACCTCAATTTTTGATAGATAGGTAGTTTCATCTATCGCGACGTCGAAAATATAAACTGGAAGTTTTGACAATTCTAAGCGCAGAACTTGATTGGCTCAACCGAAGTATGGAAAAAAAAACGAACTTTTCTTAAATGTTTTTTTTTTCGGTGTCTCTTTTGGAAATAATGTCTTTGATTCAACCCGAACTTTTGTTAATAAAATTGACTGTTTTGGCAACGAAACTAAAAATACGTTAGTAATTGCCATAGCGATGTTGCCGAGATCGATCTTGGTGTTAGACATAATTTAGTCGATTGGGTTTTTTTCTTAGTGTGACGAAACACTACTACTGACTAAACTACATACTGACGTCTTTAAGAGAGACGAACCAGACTCGTAAACAATTTTTCATACCAAAGACGTTCCAGGGGAGACTTCGGATGCTTTGAAATTTTTGTTCGATTGTTTTAAATCTTTATTAAACCAGTTAACATTAACCTAACCTAAATTTTTGATAGATAAGCTATACGTATTGCGACGTTACACAGTACAAACTGGAAGTTTTGACATTTCCAAGCGTTCCAAACATGTCGAAACAAACTTTTCATAAACGTTTGTTTGTGTTCGTGTGTCATTTGGATATAATCTCTTTGATTCAACCATACAGTTTCTTAAAAAATACACCGTTTTGGCATCGCTTGGGTGCAATTTAAAATTGCGTTATTCAGCAGAGGTATACTTGATGTTAGACATAATTCAGTCGAATGGAATTTTTTTTCTTAGTGTGACGAAACACTTTCACTTACTTCTTTACGATAGGCGAATCAGACTTCTCACAATTATTCATACCAAAGACCCTATCTAAAAGACTATCAGAGGAGAGGCTAGATTCTTTGGAATTTTTTTGCGATTTAGGAAGTGTTCTCTTTCTACATCTTAACTAAACCAACTAAGATTAATCTAACCTCAATGTTTGATAGATAAGCGACACTTACCGTGACATCGCACAGCATAAACTGGAAGTTTTTATATTTCTAAGCACAATCGAACCGTGGAAAGTCGAACGTAACTTTTCGTAAACGTAGGTTTGTGCTCGTGTCTCTTTTGAATATAATGTCTTTGATTCGACCAGAACTTTTGATAAAAAATAAACCTTTTTTTTCAACTATTAGGATAGTCCAAGCAGAGCCTTCTAAAATTTCATTAATGAACAGAGGTTGTGTAAAACAATCAGTTGCCGAGATCGATACTTGATGTTGGTCATAATTTCGATTTTTTTTTTAGTGTGACGGAAACATTTCTTATTTACTCATTTCTTTAAGAAAGACGAGCCGATGTTGTTGATTGTTCAACTTTCGAGTTGTGTAGATTTTTTTTTTATTGTTACGTCGTAGTCAATGTTAACCAACCGTGGCTGTTTCTGTTTCTATCACGTGACCAGCGCGAACCTCCCTCCCTCGTGTGGTCGTCAGAGAGATATTAACTATATGAAATTTCTAGATTCTATAATATGAAAGTCATGTGTAATATATATCGTACCTGGAAGGATAAGAGATATTTATTTTATTATTTCCATAGAGTTGTGCATATTGTACATAAAAACTGTATTGTCACTTTATGTTTTTTTAAAGAGTGTAAGTTGTACAAAATGTATATATTAAAATATTTTACCTTTATGCGAAGTGTTTCTTTTTTAATATGTATCCTATATTTTACCATATTATGGTAATGAGAGAGAAAGCGTATCTACAAAAATGCTGATGAAGGATATATAAATATTTCTGTGTGTTTTAGTTTCTCATCAGTTTTTACCATATTTTTGTGATGTACTCTAGAATTATAATAATAGGTTTACAAGCAACGTGCATTGTGTTCAGCTTTACCCAATAGGCTAAAAACTATCTTTTTTGCTGATTTAGTTTTTTTTTGGTTTAATCTTATTTATTGAAAGTTAGAATACCTACAAACGTACAAAAAAGTATTTGTTTAAAAAAGGTGACCTTCTAAAAGGGCAGTAGCCCTTTATGCTACTAAAACATTTTTTTATGAAAATTTAATTTATTTTTAAATATAACAAAAATTTTGAATTGAAATTAGAGTTTGAAGCATTAATGTCGTTCGATTTGCATTGAACTGCTATAGTCAATGACCATTTTGCTGTTCTATTCTCTCTTATTGTGCCAGTTCATTTGATTCCTCTCAATCGTAACTCACAATGTGTAGGTATTTAGTTGAAAATGTCATCTAAGTATAAATATAAGTATATAATCCTTCTAATGGAGTTGCACCAAACCAAATTACGCCAACTCTACGACGTAACGTTTTTCACTGTTGATGATCCCTGATAAGATTCAAACCACAGTGTATATCCTGAACTCGTACTATCCATCCGCGATTCATAATCCCATCTAATGGGGTTTCCCCCGACGTATTGTTTAAAGCCATGGCGGTCTTAATATATGACAATAATATGGCACCATCAATACTATGGAGTCCTCATCTTTGCCTTCGTTAACGTCATCTATAGGAAATATAACTATGCCTTCTGGGGGTTCACGCAATGCAATATTTATGATCTTCCAGAGGAATATATATCAAATATTATGCAGTGATGCATACACGTGGAAAGGGCACCACACAAATAATGTTATGCGATGTTGTATCAATATTGGGCAATAACCTTTTAGTAATATGATTTGATAATTCTTGTCGAATTTTCACTTGCTTATATAACAACTAACATAAAAGACAAGAGCAGAGTACCCTCCACAAGATGTAACACACATCTAATGTACACCATCTGTCAGTGACCATTCAAAGATTTAAAAGATATGCAGTGGAGGTTTAAAAAGTTGCACAGGGATATTTAGAAAAAGGGATATTTTCAACGAAGCAGTATGTGAAGTTGCTGAGGAGTAGTTTTTTACGAAGTAAGCTTTTTTTGTTTAACCAAATCATAAATATAGCTACTCGGGATAAAGAGGCACTGCCTATTTCGATAATATAGGAACTTATGTAGGCACTGCGAAAAAAATGTCGTAAAGCTCCATTCAACATGGGTATGCGAGAAATTTAAACTCTCGCTTCTAACCAATGCCCAATAATTATAACTCAAATAGTGGCTTTAAAAATTTTAAAGTGTTAAGTACAATAATAACAATATAAGGGTATAATCGAAGATATAAATTTCAAAAAATCAAAATAAAACCAGAATCACCACCATAATTTTCATTCAATAATAACGCATCTTCAAAATTAAATTGGTAGTTCCATTTGCTGGTCAATCATTTCGCATATAGGGTAAGTCGTTCTCAATAAGAATACTGTTAACTCACATATTTCGACCTTTATAATCGATAAAGCTCAGTTCTCAATTGAAAACCTGAAATGTAGTGCAACGACACTAAATAGTGAGCAATTAAAATTTTTGTTTTTTTTTAAAGCGTATTGCAGCAAAGAAAGGAAGCCAAAAATTTGAGCAACGAAATGAAAACTGCATCATCAGCAAAGAGCTCGTGCTCTGCCTGTGATGTGATCAACAACTTGAATTCAAAACTAAAAAAGTGAGGTGTGCATAGGCGAATATGGTTTTAATAGGACGATTAATATGCCTCAAACATAAGGACCTATATGATAATTGTCGAGTACTGGTCGATAGCTGGCCCTTTTCTAGGAAAAAGAACTTTGGTTTGGGGAAGTTCTGCGCTCCGGTACGATGTAGCTCGACGTACTGTGCGTAGAATAATGTGGTTTACGATTTTTTTAAAACTACAAAAGGTTAATGTAAGGACTTGTCCTCTTTTCTATAGTATACAGTAGCAGTACGGTTCTATGGGATGATTTTATGTTATATCTTCCGCAGCAAAATATACACAGCTTATAGACTTGCGTAAGTTTAAATTTTCTTCAAATTCAACATTTTTGGTGGTTGACCAGTCGATAATTTCCCGTTTTACCCGTTCTCCCATATATCAGAATCCTGATCTTTGCCTTCGTTGATGTCATCCATCACGCGACCTTCCAAAGGAATATATATGAAATATTCTGCAATAATACAAAACCATCTGTTTTTCAAAACGGCACGTAGATTTTTTTTCATAGAATTTTCCACAGGCTACTGTAATACTATTTACAAATCTCCTGCTGGGTTCTTCCTGCGTTGGTTGTCGTTGAATTGAACTAAAGGAGGAGCATATTTGTAACAGGTAACGTGAGAGGTTTGTTTGCTTATAGATTTCGTTAGTTGAAGAATTAACTACATGCAAGAATTTTTGTTTTATGGAACAAAATGTTATGTCCGGTTTCGTGATTGTGTTCGGCAACTGCGGATGAGTTTATTTGTTTTAGTCTTAAGGCTATTTGATGTTCTTTGAGCCTAGTTAATATTTTTGGTCGGGTTCATGCATATGCATGGAATGCTGCAAACTCCTAGTATCTCAAACGGCTGCGCCTTAGTGCATTGTCACATCACCATCCTGCCCAAAAATAATCGGTTATTAGCTCTACAGAGCCGTGAAACTATCTCAGCTCGAGTCACTAAAAATCGAAGTAGTACACCTTACATTTGCTCTTCTATCTAATAACTTCTACATTAGAGACATTAAGCGTTTCGCCACAAAATACACCTCACCACAGCCTTCCATGGGCAGTGAAACCGAAGGCGACCCCACACTTGTCACTGTTGTCGTTCCATACATTCAAAACATCACTAAACACTTACCAAAAGTTTTACCACTTGTCGAAAAAGCTCGTAACATCTTCTGTCCGTCAAAGACAAAATTCTATGGTATCGATAGTATCGATTTTACTAAAGCGATTCGTGGAATATTGTATATATTGAGATCTAGTTTATTAACGACACTCTGGTGAGTTAGTTACATCGAAACTATTAAGTTATGTGCACACCTAGTTGAATGATTATTACCTTGTGAATGATTAGCATATTTACTCAAACCATTATTTATTTCTACTAGGATTTCAAACAGATATACCGCTGTGCTTCAAAAAAAAATGCAAACTACACTCTTATAATAGCGGGTGAAAATTTACCTTTAAGTTCTTTTAATACGAACACTTGGGACGAGCCATGTCAGAAATGTGTCTAACATAACGCCTAAGAGTCTAACAGATTCAGAGTTTTGAATTGTCTTGTCTAAACCAAAATTTATTCTGTAAGTTTTTGAGTAATTTAATTTCAATGTTTTAGCAGAACAGAATATTGTTGTACTGTCCAATTTTTTCTGACTTTGCTTTGCTAGTTCAGCAGAGCTTCTCGAGCTTGATATCAAAATTGTGTCATCGACGAATAAGATACGGTCTCCGCTATCCATGGACATAGCTGCATAGCTAAATCGTAGTACCCTAGTACCGAGCTCTGATACACTCCGCTGTTTACAGGTAATAAGTTCGAGACAATATTATCGACCACCACATCTGAATCCTATCTGCAACATATGAGCCCGTTAACTCAAATAGGCCACAGGTATATCATAACATTCCGGTTTATTCATTAACAAAAACACTAACAAAAAATTAAACGCTATTATTCAAGTTGTTCTTTATTGTACACCTAAAAATAAAAACCGTATTAGGCACTTTTGGTGCTGCATGTGCTTTATTAGATAGTCATTGCAATAAGAAAGTTTTTCAAAAATTTGGACAAAAGTTGGTTATTTTTATTTTTGAAAATATTTTCCTATAATTTAAAATTATTGATTCCAAATTTAAGCCTATAGTGTTGCGCAGTTGAATTTCTAAAAAAGTAGAGTAGCTTTATTGAGAATTAACTTTTAAGACTTTTTTTTAGAAGAAACTAACCAAAACTAACCCGGTATAACCTTCTTTAATCCATATCATCAAGGTATTTGCAAAGCAATTTATGTAGATAGAAAATCATTACACGGGCCAATAATTTTTAAAGTTTTGAAAGATTGATTTCGATCTGACCTTTGGTTCTGCATAATTTAAATCTGATAAGCAGTTTCTCTATCACGTAAGGTTTTTGTGTCAATATTAAAAGGATTTATAAATGAAAATATCGGTTGATTTGAACATAATTTTTATTAGCAAAACATCTAAATTAAATAACAAAGTCTCAAACAATACTTAAGTCTATTTCTTTTTTGGAAGATCTCTCCCTCTTGGCCGAAAAACTTCGTTTTGTGGATTTTCTTGCATATTCCGTGGCCAGATTGCCATTGCCATTATCGGAACATTCCATCGACCTTCATATGTGCGTCCAATTTCTTTTATATCTTCCTGCTTCTCACTCACAACACCAAGTAGTAGGGAAAGTAGTCCAGACATGATTGTGAAAACTATAGTTTTATATTCATATTGCATCCTATTTGCCTAAATTTCTCTACCATGTGTTCTACAATGCCTTTGTAATTTGAATATTATTTGATTCCTAGAAAACCTTTTATAATATCATTATACGAAACCCATGCAAACTTTTTAGATTCGATCATGGTATTCACATGATCTTCCATTAATCACCTTATTTGACGACCTACAAAAATTCCTTCCTTTAATTTTGAGAGAGCGGGTAATTTTCCACATAGGTATCTAAAACATGCTCCATCTTAATTTAAAGTTTTAACGCACTGCTTCATTAGTCCTAATTTAATATGTGGATTTTGATCAAGAAGACTAACGTAAAGA